AGTGGATGATCATGTGCTGCACCAGGGTTTGTGGGAAGGATTTCTGCTCTGCGTGGGAGGTGGAATTAGAAGACTGTTTCCAATCCTAAGACTTTCTGACTCACGTGGCACACACAGCCAGTTAGTGGGGGAGGCAGGTCCGGAACACAGGTATTCCAAACGGAGTTCAACTAAACTTTCCTTTTCTAGCAAGATTTTCTTCGAATTCTCTGCCTCTTCCCAGCCCATCAGTGGTGTAGGACAGGGCAGAGAGACATTAACTCCTCTAGCCAGGAACGAGGCGGGTGTCCTGGACCTGGGTTTTGATGCCATCCAGTGCCCACCCTTGTAGGGTCCCTGTGGCATTATTGCAGTGACCACTTTCCTTCTTTTCCTGGCACCAAGCCCTGTGTGCTCACACTGGCACACACACAAGAGGTGGTACATGAGCTGGCTCAGTCACTTGGGGCCATGGTAACCACATTCAAAATGCAAAATCACACTAAAAGGCTGCCGGGGATGCTGGGGACCACGCTCTCTCCCAGACCGCTTCAGGCCCAGCTTTAGGGCCTGAGGAGAGGGAGCCAAATGGCTGCAGCTGCAAGTCAAAGGGGTCAGAGGCCTTCTGATGTTGGCGCTGGAAGCCTCTCCCTTCTTTCCCCACAGGGTTATGGGGGCTCCTCCACTCCCTCCTCTTATTTACCTGCTTCTCCAGGATCCCTGGAAGAGCAGGGTTAGCAAACATATACTATAGCCATTCAAATCAAGTCTACCAGAAATGTGGGCTTCCACTTTCGGCTGAGTTAGGGTCTTGGCTTCTGAAATTAGCAAGCTCTGGTTGCTGGTGGAAGCTAGGGGTTGCTCCTTTTCTCTCTCCACATACTCTTTGCTGGGCGACCTCATTCCCTCCCATTACCTTAAACATCTTCCAGTTACTGGTGACATCCACATTTATAGTCCCAGTCCAGAAATCCCCTCTCAGGTCCAGCCATTCATTTGTTCATTCATTCAGCAAACACATGTGGCGTCTCTGTCTGAGGTACTGCTCTATATGCTGGGTATACAATAGGGACCCAAATAGACACCCCCTCCTCGTGCTCTCCCTGCCTGTGTGGCTGTCCCTAGGTGTCTTCACAGCTCCCTGATGCTGAGTTGTGATTCCACCCTTTTGTCTCCCTGGTCCCCCTCTCAGTGTGTGGCCAGCATCCACCTTGAAGCTGAAACAGATGTCAAAACCATCCTTCCATTCCTTAATTCACTCACTCATTTTTCGTGCATCAAATCTTTAGTAAACACCCATACTCTGTCACTGGGGAAACAGTGGTGAACAAGACCAACAGGATCCCTGCCCTCATGGGACTTACATTCTAATCAGGGAGAGAGGCCAGAAGACCAATAGACAAAAATAATCTCCCACTCGTATTCCAACCCATTACCAAGTTCCACATTTCTAGCTCTGAAATACATGTTAGGGATTTCCCACTTCCTGCTCTTCACCCCACTCCTGCACCTGGACTCCTGCAGGAGCCTCCTCCCAGGTCTCCCTGGGTCCCATCTGCCCTTCTGCCACCAATCTCCACCCAGCCACCAGAAAGAGAGCGTCTTGCAATGGAAACGATCAGATTCATGTCATCCCTGCTTAGAACCCTTTCAATGGCTGGGTTCCCACTAAGTTTACAATCCAGACTCCTTAGGAGGGCCTGTGAGGCCCTGCTGCTCCTGAGGCCCTTCTTACCTCTGCAGACCCATTCATGCCTCTGCTCTCAGCCCCTGGGACCAGCAGCTCACTTTCCTGTCAGTTTCCCACACATCCCCGGCTCTCTCACCTTCACTGTTTTTGCACTTGCTATTCCCTCACAGGGACTACTTTAACCCAGCCCAGCCCCACCCAACCTCCTTCTCGTGGCTGAGAAGGCCTGGCTGTACATGTCACTTTCTTGTTGAGGCGTTTTCCCCCTCACACATCCATGCCCCTCTGCCTCTGTCAGTTTCCATCAGTGCAGCCAGTGCATTTTCTTGAAGGGACTTGCAGTCCTCTGTAACTATCAGTTGTGAGTTCCTGCTTTCCTGTAAGTTGCTAGGCCTGTAGGGGCTCAGTAAATGTGAACAAATGAATGAATGGGCAGGAGATAGGCCTGGCACGAGCAGCTGCTGAACTCCATTCTCTCTTATGCCTCGCAGGCTCTTTCTCCAGCTGGCTTTTGCACCTCACTTCTAGGGCATTCCTGGGAGTCCTTGGGGAATAACGTGAAAGCTCTTCTTTTTACATTATGCATTTCCTGCCTGAGAAACTGTCGGAATAATGAGGAAGCCTTAGAGAGTTCCCATAGCTCTTCCCCTCTCTTCCTTTTAGAACCTACCATTTTCTACCTGGTACTTGGTACTTGTCAAATTCCCTCTCCGGCCGCAGTGAGCTGCTCAGAGGAGCTGGTTCCTCCTAGCTCCCCTTCGAGGGCCTAGCCTGGCACTACATGCAGAGTAGGTACTCAGCGAAATGCTGAAATGATTGAAGAAGGTGCTGGGAAAGGAAGAAAGAGTAAGAAGGCAGAGGAAGAAAGAAGGAAATTGGAAGAGGAGGGAGGGGCAAAGGAGGTGATGAAGAGTGAAGAAGAGAAGGAGGGAGGGAAGTGAGGTCTGGGAGTGGGAAAGAGGAAAAGAGAACCTGCTCCTGCGTCCACCTGGAGTCAGCACTCCACTCCACCCACCCCTTCCAGTCCTCCTGGACTCAGAGCCTCCTGTGCCTGCTCCGGCCTCAGGACTGCAGGGCTCCTCCAGCCTGCCACTGACACCAAGGACACCCTGAGCTCTCAGCTCACAGACCCCGGCTACCCCAAGAGACTGCTCCTTAGGAGACCTCTGCAGGGACCAGAGCCCAGGATTCCTTAGCCTGAGGCCCAGCGCCACCTGCAAGATCCCTAGAGATTCCCCTCAGCTCCCCTCCCCTCAGCGCCTCATTTTGAGCCCCTGGTCCGAGGACGGTTAACTCCAAATCCAGCATCAGTGATCAAATGTTCATAGGAAACGAAGGAAAACAAACACTGGCTTTCCTCCATGCCTCAGCCTCGGGCCCCAGAGGCTCAGCAGCTCAGAGACAGGTGCCCCACCTCCTCCCCACACCTGGCCCAGGCCTGCCAGCTGCCCCTCGGGAAGACCAGGGACCAGCCTTGCAGGCCCGGAGGATCTGTTCCCAGAGTAGCTGTTGCCACGGTGCCCCTCCCTGGGGTGCTGGCTCCTAAGCTCCCATGAGAAGCAGAGCTGTGCCACTGCCACAGCCACCACCACCAGGCTGCCACCATGGCAAAGCTGCTCCTGGGGCCTCCCTCCTAGTTAGGCTGCTGAAGGACCAGTCTGTGCCATCCTTTCCCTGCACCAGGCAGCCACAGTACCAGGGAACAGGAGTCACTGTCAGCCCTCTCCCAGCATCCCTCTGTGTGCCCAGCACCTGCTCCTCTGGTGAGGGGACGACACCGTTTGCACTCCTAGCAGATCAGTTAGGGACCTCATTTCTCTCAGGACCCCACTAGAGATGGCAGCCAGCTCCCAGGGAGCCCGGGGACAGGATATTGAGGGCAGCAGGGAGGTGAGAAGGCTCCAGTGATACCAGGCTCCCTCTGGGCCTCGGTGCTAGGTGTCGACAAGCTGGGTTTCCCTGGACAGGACTAGAGAGTTGCTCTCCAGTACTCCCCATCTTTCTCCTCAGGTTCTTCCCCACCGCTGCCAGAGGTTCTCGCTGACTACTGTATGGCCCCCAAACATACACACATTTCCAGGGTCCTTCTGCTCTCTTCACCCTCTTCATTTTCTGATCTATGCACAAGAAAGTATCTTGTGTTAGTCATTAGCACTCCAGTATGAATTGAGGGTCCATGTGTGTTTCCTGGGAGACAGAACTGTTGACCTCCTGTCAACTTGTAGAGTGAGAGCCTTGTTCTCTGTGATGGGAAGTCCTAGCACCACAGAGCTCCAAGCAGGATAGGTAATTGTTTGGATTAGGAGAGGAAGAAATCCAAAACTTCCTTATGTGGGTCAAATTAGAGGCCAGGGCTACAAGGAGTTCTGGCCTGGCTCCAATTAACAAGGACATGGAGCACAAAAGAGAAATCCAAAGGGATATGCAACAGAAGCTGCCTCTGTCTGGAAGATCTTCCCTCTCCTTGTGCTCCCCTCCTACGTTCCACTGTTGTGTCCTCAGCCTGGCAAACTCTTAACTCATCCCTTAAGGCCCACTCCACTGTCACCTCTGAGAATCCTTCCTGGGCTCTCCCAGGTAGAGTTCCTCTGTCCCTTATGCTCGCACAGAACCTTGCATATTCCTCCATTATAGCAGAGTGCTAATTTATTGCTTGTTTACTCATTTATGGATGTTTTCCTTATTCATGTTTTTACCTCCAACCCCTGCTCAGTGCTCAGGAGCCCAAAGGTGAACAAAGCAATGAGTGAATGAATAAGGAGTGAATGAATTAGCTGCCCTCTGCTGACTTCCTGTTGTTCACCTCTGTCATTCAGGTCCATGGTTGGGTTGTAAGATTTGTCCAGAATAATTCTCAGGGTTGCTGGGCCTCTCACTCTACCATCCCACCACCATGAGCCAGCCAAGTCTCTTCTCACCCGCACCACGCTCCCCATCAGTGCTCCCTTCCACAGTCCGCATTCCCCTCAACTCTCCAGGCTTCAGCCATCTGGGCCCTTCTTTCGCAATGTTGGTGGCTACAGTTTGCATCCCAGTCAACGTGGAACAGTGCAGGGTTCACATCCCAAGTCCTTTCTGTCTCCATTCTTCCTCCTTCTCAGTCTTCGTTAGTGGTCTGTGAGCCTCCCACCCACCCCGACTCTCCAAGGGCTAGTTAGGGGCTCAGGTTTGTGCTCTTGGACAAAACTACTGCCACGTAAGTTGACAAAGAAGAAGAGGCTGGCAAGGGCTGTTTCCACATGGGAGACGTCTGAGCCAATCCCATGCTCTTACTGTGCTTGAAGTTCCACATGTGTGAATGGGAATTAAGCTTCCCCTGTCTTCCTTCAAGGTGGGATGATAATTACATGAGAAAGAGGATGGATGGGTCCTTTGGAACTCCTGAAGCGCCGCTGAAGGTAAGGGGCTAACATTCTTCCGACTTTCTCTCGTGGACTTGGGTGTTCCTTCAGAGTCAGAGGGCATTAACCCCGACACAGCAGTGGATCAGAGCAACCCCTAGAGGTAAGGGCCTTTTTGAATCACTCACATTTTACAGGCGAGGAAACCGAGAGTAATTTGATGGAGATCTCACAGATAGATTTCACAGGCCAATTTTGACCCTGCTTCTACACTGGTTCTGTGGCCAGACACAGCCACAGTGAGGAGCCGGCCCCTTGGCACCAGCACCACCGCTAGCGTCGATTCCTGTCCACACCAGACCGCTATTTCTGGCTCCACTGGCTTTGCCACTTGTGAGCTGCGTGACCTTGGCCAAATGACTTAACCTCTCTAAGCATGGTCTGTGAATTGGTGATAATGATACATCTTTAGATTTTGCCCAGAGGAGTAAATGGAGGTGGAATATGTGAAGCAGCTCTAGACCCAGGCAGGAAACGGTGCTCAGTGTGTGTCCTTCCCCATTGACACTGAGAGACCCTGCCCTGGCAGGCATGGCATGCACAGCAGAAGCACTAGAAGCCCTTTTTCAGAGGGATTGAGAGGGTGGAGGCAGGTCCAGCTCGAGGTAAGGCCTTGGGACACCAGTGCTCATGAAACAACTCACTTCATGCCCATTTCCCCCTTGATGACCCGGAAACAGTAGCACCTGTATGTTTGCTTCCTGAAGCAGTGAGAGGCCAGAGGGAAATGCACACAGCTGCTTACTCGAAAGTCTGCTCCCTGTGTGTGGGCGCCTTGGCCCCACCTTCCATTCCTCTCTCTCCCCTCCCCCAGGGCCCAGGGCCAGGAGCCACCCCTAAGTCCTTTCTACACACACCTGTGAGCTGCTGGGAATGGATTCAAGGAGGCAGGGAGGTGAGAGGAAGCACAGGGGAACACTGAAAGCAGGATCTCAGAAGGGGAAGAGGAGGAGAAGGAGGGGGACAGGGAGAGTGGCAGAGAGAGGAGCAGGAGCCTCAGAGCCAGCCGGGAGAGAAAAAGCAGGCAGGGAAGGGGGAGGGACTGCGCCCGGCTGTGGGCAGAGGCTGCGGGGCCTAAAATGAACTGAACAGGCTGGAAATAGAACAGCTGGGCAAACCCCAAACGCTCTGTTTGGGTGTCTGCTGAGTGAGCACGTGAATGAGCAGAACAGGGCAACAATGCAAGGAAGAGGTGGCACATTTCACCCTGGAGATAGGTCAGAACAAAAGGCATGTATTCCAGTCCAGCACAGATTAGTCGGGGATTTTCTTCCGCAATGTTTTCTTTAGGTAATCATTATTTTTAACAGGCTGGTTTGGTGGTGGGATTAGCCTGACGCCACCCCATCGTTGGCAGGTGGAAGGTTTGGGTTTCTTTGAGACCAAGACCACTCTGGGTTCTTATTTTAACTGTGGATGCCACTGGTTTGGGGAGAAGAGGTCTTAATCCACTTTCCAATTGGAGGCTTAGGAATCTAAGCTGTGTAATGGAATACCATCTCCCTTATTAGAACAAACCCTAACTCGGGTGCGGTGGCACACGTCTGGAGTCCCAGCTACTCAACCGGCTGAGACGGGAGGATGGCTTGAGCCCAGGAGTTTGAGGTTACAGGGCATGATGATGGCACCTCTAAATTAGTCATAGCACTGCAGCCTCGGCAACATAGCGAGACTATGTCTAAAAATAAAAAATAAAAAGAAAGAACAAAAAGTTCAGTTCCAGGACGGGGCAGGACTAGCCTGGGGGGCCCTGCCTCTCTCAGCTCACAGAGCCTCGCCATGCCTCACACACACCAACGCACTTCGCCCTGGGAGGTGCCCAGGCCACCTGTGGTTCTGCCCTGGGCTGGTTCCTTCCCTGATCACCAGCAGCACCACCTCTCTGATTCTGCCCCCAACCCCTGACACACAATATGAAGAACTTTCAGTCTAGAAATTAGACATGGGACCAGCAGAGGCTATGAAGATAACTGGAGCCACGTGGCCCCGATGGCTGCCATTTAGCTCAATCCGAGGCATCCACGCTGTGGGGGGTTTGCTCCATCGCTGATTTCTCTAGAATTCAATTCAGCTGTACATGAGACCAAATGTGGACAGGAATTAGGGGGCCTGAACTCTAGCCTCGCTTCCGCCATGGGCTGTGCAGTCTGGCAACTTGCTTAACCTGGCTGAGCTGCAGTTCCCCATTTGGGATAAAATTAGGGATAACACTGCCCACCTCCGAGGGTTCACGCAAAGCTCCAATAGATCCTGTACCCCACCTACTTAGCTCAATAACTTGACATTTCATAAGGTTTAATTTCCTTCCTCTCTTCCTTCTTTTCTGGATGAGCTCTGAGAACCTTTCCCAATTCAATAGGTAGATTCCACTACAGAACCTTTGAGGAAAGCTAAATTGGGGAGAAAAGGAATATAGGCTAGCCCACAGCCTCCCCATGAGGGGCTGGGGCTGGAGGGGTAGGTCTGGCAGAGGAGAGAAGGGGAGAGATGAGTGATCAGAGGGTCTCAACCTAAGTGCTGGTGCCTTCTATGGCAGAGGCGACTGAACCTATATGTGGTATTTGGATCACAGCTGATATTCAGACTGGATTTTGGCTTTAATGAAATATTTGACATTTTGTGGAGCTCAGTTTTAAACATGAGGCTGAGAGCTGGCAGATCTATGTCCATTTAGGACCATTCCCCAAGTTTTAACTCAGTTTCCTCTGCTGCTCTGGGCTTCAGTGCTCTCTGCTCTTCCTGTCATCAGAAGGCATTCACATGAAGTCCCTGCTGGTGATCAGTTAATGGCAAGAAGCGTCAGAAGCAAGAAGACTTATCTCTAAGGAGATCAGGCCAGAGTTTTCAACTGGGTAGTTATCCTGCACTTGGTGATTGTACAACCCTAAGTGGAAATAGGACCCTAAAGTCCACTCTCTTCCAAGACAAGTCACAGCAGCCATAAGGAAGCTGATTTAAGACCCTTCAGTTCTGCTTCCGTAATGCACCCCCAACAGAGCTGGCTTGACTATGGAACCATCCCGAAAGCTTTCCTTCTCCACACTGCCTCTTCTCTTCCTGTTAGGCAAGGGCTCTTGGCCTGAAGAAACTTGCCCAGTGCACGTATCTTGTCTTCAGGTTGAACTAGAAGTTCACCAAGTCAGTTTCCTCTTTCTGACATGGAGAGGGTGGGGATCAAGGAGGATGTTTCAGAGGACGAAGGAGTTCTTGGCTCTTCGTACTATCTGTGCCTGTTCCAGCTCTAGCTGCCCTTGTTTGACCTGCTTCTTGCAGGAGGTAGAGACCAGCATCGTAGGGAATGCCCACGAAGTACTCCAGGCTTCTCGGATATAAAGGGCAGAAAAATCAAAGCTGGCTCTTACCTCCATCCAGATGGAGGGGGATAAAAATAGTCCAAGCCCATTTCTTGCCTCACTTGTCCAGTGGCTAAGTTAATGCCAAACTGGGATTTCTCTGACCTCCTGTCAACCCGACCTCAAGGCTGCCAGAGTATCAGCTACTAAATCACCAATCTATGGAAGTCATCTTGTAGCCTGTTTCAGATCCCTGAAGGAGCCCTTAATCCATGCTGACTTCAGAAGCCACCTTGCACCCTCTACCTGTATTTGGGAATCACCTCTATCCCTTGGTGCCCAGAAAATATTTTTAGCTACCGATGATGACTCAGACTTCATCCCTATTTACAACTGGGGTGATGAGAGTAGAGAGTTGGAAAAGATTCCACCAGCCACAGGTCTAACAGCTCCTTGAACGAGTTTGCTAAAAGACAAGACTGGTCATGCCTTTCCTTTTCTGAAAAGTCTTCTCTGACTCCCTGCTAGATAAAGGGGAGATGCCTCAGCGTGGCTTCCCAGAACCTTCACCATCTGGTCCCAGCCTCTCTTTTGGGCCTCAGTCAGTCCCTGCCACACACTCGGATTCCAATCTCATACACACAGGAGTGTTTGAATGTGTGCACTTTCCTGCGTTGGGTCACACGCTTCCCTGTGCTTGGAGTGTCCCCTCCCTTCCTCCACCTTGTGAACCTGCTCATCCTTTGTGAAGTCTTTTCTTTCTTTTCTTTTTTTTTCGGTACACATTTATTGGGTACAAGTGCAACTTTGTCACATGCATAGATTGCACGTAGTAACATCAGGGCTTTTAGGGTGTCGGTCACTCAAATAACATACATTGTACCCATGAAGTAATTTCTCATGACCCACCCCTCTCCTGCCCTCTCTCCCTCTGAGCCTCCATTGTCTGCCATTCCACTCTCTATATCCATGTGTGCACATTTTTAAGCTCCAACTTATGAGTGAGAACATGAGATATTTGTCTTTCTGTGTCTAACTTATTTCACCTCTTGTTCCATCTATGTTGCTACAAAAGACATAATTTCGTTCTTTTTGTGGCTGCATGGTATTCCATGTGTATGCGTATCACGTTTTCTTTATCTACTAATTATCTGTTGGTGGGCAGGGCATTTAGGTTGAGTCCATGTCTTTGCTCTAAATAATACTGCAATAAACATATGAGTGCAGGTATCTTTTTTTTTTTTTTAAACCCAGGGTCTAGCTCTGTCACCGAGAGAGACTGGAGTGCAATGGTGCCATCACGAGGTCTAGCTCTGTCAGTCACCGAGAGAGACTGGAGTGCAATGGTGCCATCACGAGGTCTAGCTCTGTCACCGAGAGAGACTGGAGTGCAAGGGTGCCATCACGAGGTCTAGCTCTGTCAGAGAGACTGGAGTGCAATGGTGCCATCACGAGGTCTAGCTCTGTCAGTCACCGAGACTGGAGTGCAGTGGTGCCATCATGAGGTCTAGCTCTGTCACCGAGAGAGACTGGAGTGCAATGGTGCCATCACGAGGTCTAGCTCTGTCACCGAGAGAGACTGGAGTGCAATGGTGCCATCACGAGGTCTAGCTCTGTCACTGAGAGAGACTGGAGTGCAATGGTGCCATCACGAGGTCTAGCTCTGTCACCGAGAGAGACTGGAGTGCAATGGTGCCATCACGAGGTCTAGCTCTGTCACCGAGAGAGACTGGAGTGCAATGGTGCCATCACGAGGTCTAGCTCTGTCAGAGAGACTGGAGTGCAATGGTGCCATCACAAGGTCTAGCTCTGTCACCGAGAGAGACTGGAGTGCAATGGTGCCATCACGAGGTCTAGCTCTGTCACCGAGAGAGACTGGAGTGCAATGGTGCCATCACAGCTTACTGCAGCTTTGACCTCTCAGGCCCAAGTGATCCTCTTCTGAGTAGCTGGGACCACAGGGACATGCCACCATGCCTGGCTAATTTTTAATTTTTGTAGAGATGGGGTGTTGCTATGTTACCCAGGCTGATCTGGAGCTTCTGTGCTTCGGCAATCTGCCTTAGCCTCCCAAAGTGTAGGGATTACAGGTGTGAGCCACCGGCCCTGGCCTTTCTTTTGGATACGTTGATTTCTTTTATGAAGTTTTTCCTTCCCCTTTCCCTTTCCCCTTCCCTTTTCCTTCCAAGACAGAATCTGGCTCTGTCACCCAGGCTGGAGTGCAGTGGCGTGACGCGGCTCACTGCAACCTCTGCCTTCTGGGTTCAAGCAATTCTTCTGCCCAAACGTCCCAAGTAGCTGGGACTACAGGCGTGCACCACCACGTCCAGCTAGTTTTCGTATTTTTAGTAGAGACGGGGTTTCTCCATGTTGGTCAGGCTGGTCTTGAACCCCTGACCTTGTGATCCACCTGCCTCAGCCTCCTAAAGTGCTGGGATTACAGGTATAAGCCACCGCGCCGGACCTTGTGAAGTCTCTTCTAATCTACCTTGTCCCGCCAGCAGAATGTCTTGTTCCTCAGCCAGTGACATACCTTTACAAGAGCATTTGTTGCACTAGATGTTTACTCAACTGCTTTCCACAGGCCTTTTCAAGCCTCATAGATTAGACTCTCCTTTCCTTTAGTCCTGGCCAACTAGATCACAGGGATCTGTGTAGCTATGGTAGGAAAAATGATCCAAAATATAGCTGTGGCCTAGAGGATGCCTGCATGTTCCTTCAATACCATACTGAGGCTTTGTCTGACATAAAGATTACTAATTCTCTAAAAGTGTGCTGTCAACAGATGGCTATTGAACACTTGAAATGTGGCTAGTGCTCTTGTCAAAATGACAGTATTTTGAATGTGTTGGGTTAAAGAAATTATTAAAATGAATTTCACCTGTTTGTTTTTACTTTTTGATGTGGCTACTAGAAAAAGTTAAATTATGCACCTGATTCACATTGTGTACCCGCTGGAAAGGGCTGCAGAAGAAGACAGTGACTGCTTGACTTTGCCATTTGCTATCGTTTAAGGGCTCAGACTGTGAAGTTACATATTAACTTCCAGGGTTTTTGTTTGTTTGTTTGCCTGATAGTCAAATGATTCGTATCCAGTAGGAAAGATAACCCCAGTTTTATTTCCTTGTAGGACATTAACCAAATATGTATTTATTTTTTTAAAAAATTATTTTGGTGTGCCTTTCTTTTAAATCCCAGTTCCTCAAATGCTCTCTGAATCAACTTTATTATTGTATTGTGTGAGTTCAATGAAATCTTTAATACATATTCATAACTATAACTGTAGGAGACACGTGTTTCTAACTTTTTGGAAATTATATTTTGACATGTCTCTGTCTCCTGTTCGGCTTGAGGGCAGAGACTCAATTATTAACATACCTGATATTAAGTAGGGATTCAGTCGATGTTGAATGAATAAAAAGCACATGTTTCGAATTGAGGCTGAAAGTTTAAACTGCCAGCCAAACTCTGTGGTGGGATCTCTGTCAGCCACATGTCTAGAGAGTGGCAGATGTAGGAAAGATAAGACCCTCCTTTTAGGAACCTGAACTATTTGGGTGGTTTCCCAGTTTGGGGGACCTGTGATCACCAGGGGATGCTGGCCAAAGAAAGTCTCTTCTGTCAGCTCAAAGGTGAGGTCCTCTCAGGCCCCCTACCCTGCCCACCCACCCTGGGGGGCTGCAGGAGGTATGGAGCCCAGATAGGATTCTTGTCCTTTCCCGCCCCATGGCCGACTACATCACTATGAAGATTCTGTCAGACAACCCTAACTGCTTTTCACGATCTGGGACACAGAGGCACTTTTGTTGCTAGAGGTCGGTAGCAGGGTAGGCACCTTTTTTCTGGGGGCCCTGGAAGGAATTCTTTGGGTCCTGTGTCCTGGCAGACCGTTGCAAGAATATGTCTCTTCCCCTTTACATTCATGGCCTTCTCCACAATAGGGGATGGCAGGCTGGTAGATGAGGGTGGAAGTTGCTTGCAAATTCCTTGAGGACAGAAGCTGTTGATTTGTATGCCTGGCACCTGCTTATCACGTTGCCTGGCATACAGCAGACACTCAGTGAATGCTAATCCACCTCGCCTCCCTCGGCCTGACTTCAGCACCAGAGCCAGCTTCCTTCCAATGAGTCTGATATATAGACTCCTCGGCCTGGACAGAACACTGATTAATCAATTCCCCTCTGGGAGTCTGTGCAGGATCAGCTGATAATTAGGCATCAAGCTCAGGGTTGGCGACCTTTTAGAAGTGTCACTGCTCTTGTCTGCTGTCCTTAAAAGAAAAAATGAGTAGAGGCCTTGCTTCTGGAGAAAGAGAATAAAAACGTTGCCTTAAAAAAATTGTTGTCAAATAGACTCACACAAATTTTTTATTTTAGTCATTTTTTTCAGTGGCATTAAATACATTCACATATTGTGCAACCAACACGGCCAACGATCTCCAGAACTCTTTTCATCTTCCCCAGTGGAGGCTCTGCACCCATTAAACAATGTGCCCCATTCCCTTCTCCCCCAGCCCTGGCAACCGGGATTCTACTGTCTGTGTGAATTTGACCAAGTACCTCATATAAGTGAAATCATATGTTTTCAAGTCCCACCTTGAAGCTGTTATCAGCAAACACTTTCCTTAATTAACAATTAACACCTTAGCAGGAATTAGTTGTTGAAAACAGGAATGGGTCATCACCACTTTTCTCATGCCAAATAAAACACTCTCTTCCATATGGTTCCCAGACACAGCTCCCCTTTCCCGGGCTCCTCCACCTCCCTCCTCCCACATGACCAGGCCTACCTCATCATCCAGCAATGCCTACTCAGCTCAACCCTCATCTCCAGCCAGAAGTCCAGGCAGACCCCTAGGAGGGGCCCCTCCTCCCTCCTCCACGTCCTCCAGGCTGCCATCTGGTAGGCCACCCCGTATCTTGCCCTACGGCCTTCTGCACTCACTTCCTTTGGCCACAAGCTCCCTGAGGGCACAATTCCCGTCAGTCTCTTTGTATGGCGTGCACCTACACATCAGGCCTTCGAGTTGCTTAGAATAATTCATGTGCCACATTTGGCACCACTGCACAAGCCTGGGCCACTTTGTGGTTGGAAGCTCCCAGGAAAAGAGATGGGATTGTCCTCTTGAAGAAATACGGCTGCATGGTTGGCATAAGGAAAGGTCAGGGGCACTGCCAGTGTGGATAGAGATTCCTGTCCTGAAGAAAAGCAAATTGCCAAGGGGCTGAATTAGTTTTGAGACTTTCAGCACAGTTATTCCTTCCTGTCTTCACTCAGTCATCCCACAAACACGGAGTGGCACTTGCTCTGAGTGAGGCACCCAGCAAGACCTCCGAGGGAAAAGAGGAAAGGAAGACCTCCTTGGAGGTGCTGTGTGCTCATATACAGCCAGTTTGCTGGGAAAGGACCAATCCCCTAGGAGAGGCCCCAGGCTTCTCTGGGAGGAGGAGAGGAGCAGCTGGGGTAGGGAGGCTAGGCCAAGCCCATCAGGTGGGGAAGCAGGTGGCTGTTCCTGAAGCCAAGCCGCGGGACTGCCTGGAAGCCCTGGCCTCACCTCCTGCAGGCTTAGCTACACTCCAGCCTTTGAGGACAGTTCTGGGGGATGGGACTGCAGTAGGCAGATTCTGGGGGATGGGATTTGTAGGACAGTTCTGGGGGATGGGACTGCAGTAGGCAGATTCTGGGGGATGGGATTTGTAGGACAGTTCTGGGGGATGGGATTGTAGCAGGCAGAGAGGGGAGATAGGTCCTAGGCAAACAGGAACAGCCAAGTATCTCTTGTGGCAGCTGCTTCTACCCAGAGGGAGGCCAGGGAGTGCCTATGGGGTAGGGTGGCCTATTGGCAGGAGTCTCTATAGGACCTCCATGTGAGGGGCAACAGTGTCACTGCATGCTAGTCCGGCTTGGCTTAGAGAGTCCACTTAGAGGACTTCAAGCTCCACAGGCCAAGAACATTGATATGGTTTAGCTGTGTCCCCACCTATTGGGGGATGGGGGGCGTTGCTGTTGTTTTGCCTGCAGAGTTCCAGGAAGGAATCCCAAGCAGCTCTTCTGTGGATGTCCCTGTTCAGGCATATCTGGAAATGCTTGCCAGAAAGGAGGGTTCGGTTGCATGGAAGCGCTCTCATTCTCAGCGAGACAGCCTGCAGGATGTGGGTGCATCCAGGAGCCCGGCCCCTTCTCTCTGCTCTAAGCCAACCAGCCGGCCACAGGACCTGACCCCTGAGGCTCAGGAGGACGGTGAGGGGCACTGTGGCGTTTGCACTTCATGTACCTTCATAGCACCCACTGAATATCCAAGAACATCCCCAGAGAGTCATGGTCATTTTCTGTTTCTCCATCTTGTGGCTTATCTGCCATGTGGAGGAGGCCAGGTTGGAGCTGAAGACTGGGGCTGAGTGTGTAACAGCTGCTTTTTTGAGAGCAGCCCTGACACAGGCTGTTTGCTCTAAACTCTGTACAGCTTCCTGCCCTGGGAAATGCAGAATTAATTGAATGCCATGTGCAGTGATTACGGGAAGAAGGAAGAAGGAGATGAGGTGGGGGAGGACTGTCTGTACATCCTGCCAAGGAAACTAGGAATAAATTCAAACTGTCACCTTATACTGAGCTTTCTTAGCAGGTGTCAGTGGAGCAGTCACCTCGTCTATCCCAAACACAGCACCTCACAGCCTGAGCACATACTTCGCAGAGCCAGCCAGAGCCTGTGGGAGGCCCACAAGAAGGCTGCGGCAGGGCTGTAAGCCCTGTCATTCCAGTTCGTCCCATTTCATTCAATTCTGTATTAGCTCACCACCTACTATGTCCTGGAAAGGGTGCCGACATGGTAAGTAAAATAATCCTCAAGTTGAAGAAGCTCATGCCTAGCAGAGGAGACATCCAAGTATATGCAGACAGTATTCCCGGACTTGCAGAGATGATTCTGACTTAAGACATTTGGTAAACTCTGGTGAGAGCAGGGAACATACACTTTCCTTTATCCGCCCCTGTCATCCCAGTGCCTGGCAAAGAGCCTGGAGCAGAGTTAGGTGCTTAATAGATGGCTGTCAAATGAGCAAATGCTTGGAGTCTGAGCTGGACAAACAGGCTCCCTAGAGCTCTGCAGGGAGTTAAGGTTTTGGTGTGCTCTCTGCTGGCTGTTCCCCCGGAACCCCCTGTTTCCTCTCAGGAGGTCCTCCTCACTTCACCCTCTTCTCTCTAATGCACCCCTTCAGACCTGGGCTCTGCAATTTTGCATTCAACACCCTACTCCATGTCCCCAAGCCCAGGTTGCCGAAGATAACTAATATTAGCAGGTCAGAGCCAGCACAGATGTACTTTAGGATGCTTAGCGGGGCTGGAGAGCCCTAGACAGAGCCGGGTGTATTTTTAGCTCTTTGGGTAACTGGAAAGGTATTGAGATGTAGTCATTGTTACAGACACTCAGGCAAATCAGTATTCTGCTACTGGCCTCTCCATACCAGGCAGTTTCCATTCAGTGTCTCAAAAGCAAGGGTTGCCATGGAGATTGAGTGCCAGGACAACCGAACTTCCTCCCGGGAAACAGCCGCACAGGTGGAGCTCTGGGCCAGTGGGGATCAAGAAGCTCCTCAGATGGCCACTGCTTTCTCCCCTGAAGATAAATGATGGCAGAAGTCCCTGGCACCCTCAGAAGGGGTCAGCCAGAAGATGGTGGACACTGTCTCTGGAACTTCATTCAGGGAGGGGCTGATTGTATTTCTCGCTCACACTTGCTGTGGACCGCTTTATTTCTCTTCCTGGTCCTTCCTTCAACAAAGGGATTTGGCCACGCAAGAAGGTGGCGGGGCCATTTTCTAGTAGAGGCCAGTTCTGGCAAATACCTAGAACACAAGCTCTGCTTGAGGCCGGGGGAGGCCAGACCTGCA